TCAGCATCAGAAACCGGACTAGCGAAACCATCGGTATGTGACGTGGCAGCAAGAATCAAGACCGGCCGTAGCAAAACCAATGCCGGGTAAAAAATGTGATCATCATCGGGTCGACGCGTAGCAGGACATCGGCTGGGGTGACTGTCAAGCAAAGACAGAGCGTAGCAACATAGCGGTGGAGGCGACGTCACCATAGACGCGTAAGCAATACATCGTGCTGACGTCACCAGAACGGGCGTAGCAAACGATCTGTATGTGACCGTCACAGGGTATCCGATATGATGCAAAATCGGGTATGTGACCGTCCGAACCGACGGCGGTGAAGCAGACAATCGGTATGGTGCACCGTCCACACAGACGGCATAATTGGAAAGCGTGTAGCAAACAATGCGTATGTGACGTCAAGACCGCGTATAAAAAAATTCAAACATCTGTATGTGACGTGCACAGACTAATCAGGACGACGTAGGCAAACATCTGTATAGTGACGTCACAGACGCGCTAGACAAACAATACTGTATAGTGACTGTCACATCAAGTACGCGTAAGGCAACATACTGTAAGTGATCGGTCACGAGACCGCATAGCCAACATCTGGTATGTGAGCTGATCACAACGACGCGTAGCCAGCCATCGTAATCTAGCGTGTCCACAGACCGCGTAGCAATCCATGCAGTAATGTGACGTCAACAACAGACCGTAGGGCAACAGTCGGTGGGGTGACGTACACACAAGACTGCGTAGGTGCCAAAATACATCGGTGGGTGAATCGTTCAGCCAGATCCGGCGTAGGGCAGACATCGGTGGGCTGACGTCACAGGACTGCGTAGCAAACAGTCTGTAGTGTGACGTCCACCAGGAACGCCTGTAGCAACATCGTGTAATGTTGACGTGCAACAACGACGCCGTAGAGCAAGCATCTCGTCAGTGTGACGGCTTTCAGCAGACGCGTAGCAACATCGTCTAGTGTAACGTCACATGGGACGCGGTGCTCAACATCGGTGGGGCTTGACGTCACAACAGCAAGGCACGCGTAGCAATCATCTGCCCGGGTATGCTGACGGCACAGGAGCCATTAAAGCTTAAGCAAGCATCGGCTAATGTGACGTCAAACACACCTACACCCCCAGCAGACAGCGTAGCGAACCTCTGTAAAAATGTGACGTCGAGCATGACGCCGTAGCAACATCAGGTGGGCTGACCGGCACATCCCCGCCAGGACCACGTAAGGCCAACAACGGTGATTGGACGTGCACCAGGACGCGTAGCAACATCTGTATGTGACCTTAGTCACAGAGCGCGTATCAAGACATGCGGGTATGTGATGCGTCCAGTCCAGACTGCCGTAGCAACATTCAGGTAATGTGACAGTCAACAGGCAGACGCGTAGCAACAATCGGGGGTGATGCTGAAATCTTCACACGTACCGCGTAGTCAAAGCATCGGTAATTGACGGTCACAAGCAGATGTGTATTAGCAACATCTGTTTAATGTGAAGCGTCACACATCAGATGCGATTAGCAAACATCCGGTATGCTGGAACGTCATCACAGATGGCGTAGCAACATCTTATGTGACGGTCATCATCCAGACAGCGTGAGCATAACATCAGTGGGCTGCGGTCAGACACGAAGACGCGATAGCAACATCAGGTATGTGACGTCACACGAGGTGGTAAGCAAGCATCTAGTATGTAGAGCGTCAACACAGGATCGTAGCAACATCTGGCTTATGTGACGTCACCACAGATGACGCTATGCAAACATCTTGTATGTGAGTGCAACCAGGCAAAACGGCGAGCAAGCATCAGTTGGGGTCGAAGTCGTACAAAAACAGAAACGCGTAGCAACATCGCGGTAGTTGGTGAACGATGCACAAGCAGGGACAGGCGATAGACAAGCACGCGGTCGGGTAACATTGCAAAAAGAAACTGTAGCAAGCAATTGAGTGGGTGACCGGTCACAATCAGAATGGTCGATAGCAACATGCTGTATGTGAGAGTCACATTACAGACGCCGTAAATGCAACAATGCGGGTATGTGACAGTCAAAGCCACTACAGTATGAGACGTAAGCAACATCCGGTGCATGTTGACGTCACATGGACGGGCCGTAGCAAACCAATGCGGTGGTTGACCGTCACAGAGACGCGTAAAGCAAACAATCTGGTGGGACGTCTGACAGACGGCCAGTTAAAGCTACAGCAAATCGGTAATGTGACATCACAGCTGCGTAAGCAAATCG